ATCAGTGGCGGTGGATTTTGGTAAATGAACAAGGGTGACGGCGTCATCGTCGGACAAACTACGGCGGCGGCAGAAGCTAGAGTGAACTAGGGTTTCACGCCCTTTCGGCGCAGCGAGATTTGATGGTGATGCCGCCGTCGCTGGACAAACCGCAAGCGACGGCGGCGGCGGAAGCGGCAAACTAGAGGCAACTAGGATTTTAGGTTTTCCCAAGATTTGGCTCTGATACCATGTAAAAACAATACACTTGGGCCCAATTCAACCCCAATAGTTAACTCAAGAGGTTGAGGTACCCAAGCTATTAAATAACAGCACAATATAAGGCTGCATAGCCGATGTGGGATGAACAAGTCAACACGCTCCCCTCACACGAGGCGCAGATTACTGCGGGCGCGGTCCCAACATCAACAGTATGACTACTCTTTCATTATGATTTTTTGATATATTGAAAACTAAATGGAGTTGGGTACATTTTTATTTCCATATTTATTCATTTTTAAGATACAACAGTAAATTCATATGCCCCTTCAACTGATATTGAGGAGGCTTAATTGCCCCGGCACCTTTGGAGCTACTTGTGAGGGTTTGGGTCTCCTCATATCTAAACCGGAGGTGGAAGAACCCAGCACCCAGTATGCAGCGATTCATACTTAGACCAACTCCAATTGGCCTGAAATTCTTATATTTTTGGAGTACTTCTCTAAACCTCCTCTAAATTAAACAAGACATTGTTGAGTGTGAAGCCAGAAGGCTAGGTGGAACCAAACAAGATATTGGCAAGAAACTAATTGGAAGCTGCTTTGTGGCTTTTGCTTCTTCATTGTTTCCATTGTTTTCTCTATATAAGAGATGTTAATCTGCTTGTAATCTTAGGTATGCAACAAAAGAAATAAAATCCTTCTAGTTGCTTGTGTGGAGTATGCTCCAGTTGGCGTCTTGGCGACTTAACCAAATTAAATTTTTGAGTCGTTTATTTTTTCGATTGGAGCACTGGAGGTGCTCAAAAAACGTATTGGCAGTGCTAGTGTCACCGTTGTTGAGTGTCAACAGAAGTACGCAATCGGGGTTTTTTTATTTAGTTCAATGTCTTTTCCATCAAAAAAGGTTTTCTTTAATTTATACGGAGTACATAATAGAAATAAATGATAAAATAAACATGTTGTGATTTGAGTTTAAATTTGGAGTATTAAATATTGGAGAGGAATGGTTGTATTTTGAGTATGGGGAAGGTTCAAGTGACATTGAAATTTAATGTAATGGGATGACCCGGGGGCGCTCCGGTGTCCCGTTCGTAAAATTGACGGTTCCTACCTTCCTAACCCTCCCGGTAAACCCCCCACCTGACCCCGGCCCGAACACACCCCCCACCCCCTTCAATTGCACTCCACAAGTTGATTTTGACTTTGGAGTCAAATTTTGAGCTTTGCCTTAGAGTTTGGTGAGCTTTGTAGTTGTGCTTGGTGAGCTTTGTAGTGGGCAGTGGTGAGCTTTGCGTCATCTGACCGAAGCATGTCATCGCACCATAAGGTGTGATCTCACTGGAATCAATCTCATTACTAAATATATTAAAATAATTAATATATTTAACATGGTGTCAGTAATTTTGTAGTTTGTGAGTAAGTTAGGTCTTAAGATAGTAATGAAATAGTAATGGAGCTTTAATCTCCCAAATCTTCAACCAAGATTCATACCTTTAATTTTTCCTTTGTCTACAAACATGTCGCTCTTTCATTGGTGGATAAATTAACCATCAATGCGAACCCTGTTTATTATACATCCATCCATCTCCGCCGCATGGGGGGGATATATATTACATATCACCCGCAGACACCAACCCTGGCCTGGAACCGCATATCTCACTTACTAATTCATCTTTCTTCAATTCAATTCGTTTTCTCATCGCTCTTTCTGTGTGGTCACATGTCATGTAGTAGTAATTCTTGATCATCATATCGAGAGTTGACAAGATTGTGGAAGCAATAATGGGGACTGCAAAGGGATATTGATACGAATATCGTACCGGATAGGGAAGAACTTCGAGCGTTCTTCAAGCTCCAAAAAGAAGAGGTAGAGAAAGATGGAAAACTTCGAGCGTTTCCGAACTCCAAGAAAAGAGAGACGAGAGATTAAGAGAATTCTTGATTATTGATTGATTGATTCTGGTAAAAAAGATTGATTACAATATATAGAGACGAGGGGGTGGGGAAACACCCCAATTAACCTAATGGGCTCGGGCCCATACTAAAACCCTAAACAAGATTAACTATTGAATATTAAATGACTACTAATTAATAAATAATATAACTAATCCACCATCCGTATCATTCTCACCCCCTTAAAAATCACCTTGTCCTTAAGGTGGAGGATCCCACTCATGCTTTTGGATACGTGAGTACGCGACGAACCAGAAGAGACATTCATTTGTTGACCACTCTTCAAGAAGCTTCTGAGATGAAGTATAGCGGTAGAAATAAGAGAGATGTCCAGACTTGCATTGAACTATTTTCTTTGAACCCAAGTGCTCATACTTGACAACATCGATCAGCTCAAATAACTTGATGGTGTGAATCAAAATAGGTGAGCATGCTTTCTTACCATCTGCATCTACTACTTTGTCAACACTTTTTGGAACATCATACTTTGAAATCACCCATCCAACTGAGGTATAAAATTCATGAAAAGTAGAATCGGGCTTGTCGACATGAGCAACATTTGCTGCAAGAGGACCTTCATTTGTTTCCACAACGTTGGACCTCCCGTCATCTCTGTTTATTGTTTCAGGCCCGATGTCCACTTCATCTCCAACTTGTGAGTCAACGTTTGATTCCTCCTTAGATGCTTGACCATGTGCTTCAGTGTGTTTCTCAACTACTGTAGAGACCAAATTTGGTGCAGAAGGCGGAGTATCGATGAGAATTTTAATAGCGCCCAACATATTTGTTCTAAAGTTTTGTAACTCCAATGGAATCAAAATCGACAAAATTGGGGGCCCACGGACCAAATCCTGTATCGCGCAAGAGATTTCAATGTCAAATGTGTGTAAGTCAGAATCATAATTTGACCGACCTTCAATATGACGAAATGACCGGAGATTCTTTATAATTTCGTCTATGTGATCGTAAAGTGCACAAACTCCCTCATGGTGCTCAATTTCTCCATATAGAACATTCTCCCGCAAATTAATGAGTTTGTCCAATGCACCGGTACATATAATCAAAGCCTCTAACTGTAGGAATCGAGCCTCCATTCTTGACAAAAAATCATGGTGCATTTGGGCTTGCAAAAGCCGAAAACAATTTTGCAGCAAGAAAAAAAAAGATCCTGCTATGATTAAGGCGGCAACAAATTTGGTCTTAGTCCGCAGAATTTTGGGCAGCGACAAGCGAATTGAGCTTCTTGACTTCTGGATCAGCCGGCAATTGATTTCTTTTTAGCATCTGGACAGCTGGAATGTGCAGCGATACGGGCGGGATTTTTTTTCCGTCAACAGGCCCTTGAATCCTTACACCTTGTACTCCAAATAAAACGCTTGCGGCTATGAAGACTGATCGGCCCCCAAACAATTTCGTAACAATTGGGTTCTGCAATTGTGGCAGTGAACTGGGGATTGCAGCGGCACAAGAATCCGGCAAGGGCAAAGGCGACAGATGTTGCAAGCAATTGAATCTGCCGGTGATTGTAATTATCTCTAGGGGCAGATGTTGCAGATCTGCGTTTTTTTTGTTTTTTTGTTTTCGTTTTGTTTTTCTTTTTTTGAAAATTTCTCTCAATGAGAGCACCAATTGATACGAATATCGTACCGGATAGGGAAGAACTTCGAGCGTTCTTCAAGCTCCAAGAAGAAGAGGTAGAGAAAGATGGAAAACTTCGAGCGTTTCCGAACTCCAAGAAAAGAGAGACGAGAGATTAAGAGAATTCTTGATTATTGATTGATTGATTCTGGTAAAAAAGATTGATTACAATATATAGAGACGAGGGGGTGGGGAAACACTCCAATTAACCTAATGGGCTCGGGCCCATACTAAAACCCTAAACAAGATTAACTATTGAATATTAAATGACTACTAATTAATAAATAATATAACTAATCCACCATCCGTATCAGATATGGTGAGAACAAAAAGGTATAGGCAAGACATATATATAATGCATGCAGCAGCAGCCTAGCTTGATCACCGGATACTAATGCTCAAGTTTTGGAGGAAGGGGTTGATGGTGAAGAAGAGTCCCGAGCCAAACATATTGGGTGCAGGAGGAGCAGATCAGAAGCCTGCAGAGGATGATGATTTTGAAGTGGAACATGGTGAGATTGATGATGAGGAGGAAGAAAGGAAGGTGCAGGAGAAGACTGAAGGAGTAGATGATGATGATGATGATGAGCAGAACCAAGACAGATCAGAGGAAGGTTGAAGCAGAGCAGTTAGTTGGAGAAGGGATGACCAGCACAGATCGGGTACATAATTAATCACCATATTACATTTTGAGTGTACGCTGTTATTCACATTATGATCAATATACCTTAATCACATTATGGTCACAGACAACTAAAATGAAAATAATTATCTTGAGTTTCAAAATATTGAAGACAATATTTAGAAAAACAAATGGTCAAACTCGCGTGTGAAGGGTTGTTAACTTTTGAGGTTCATTCTTGTACAATAACTCATATACTCAAAATAACTTTATATAGATCATTTTTATATATAACTTCAAAGATAACTTTAATTGTAAAGAGTATTATATAGACTAAAATGTACAAAAAAAAATGGAGGCTTGGCTTTACTCTTTCTTAAGAAAGCATTGCTTTTTGATACAAATGTAATATATAGAACCAAGTAATTACACAAAGGCTATGTAATTATATATTATATCTAACACATATATTTTGTTGATCAAAGCTTGCAGAGGCCTGATATAATTTGCAAACAGAAATTCTTGTTTCCAAAATCAAAACAAAAAATCTCTTGCAAGACACAAAAAAAAAAAGTCTAAATTACAGTAAAAACTAAAATAAATTATTCTGCCAAAGATGAAAGTTCCCTCCAACTCCAAGCAACCAAACACATCCTAGAAAAAACATATAGCAGATAGTAGAGTAAATAATGACAGATTGACAAACGGAAAACACAAAACAATTTGACAACAATTGATATGAAACAGCCACAGGTCGCAGTCCAAAATGAAATTACAGAATCCAAACACACCCCTAGTCTAATTTTAAAAAGCTAGACAGTGCGTGCCCCCACGTCTGTGTCACTGGGTAGTAAATTAAAAATTCACACTTCTCCACTGTACAAAATTACCCCCCTCTTCTGTTAGCCAAACAAGCCGCGACATACTCCAAAAACCATCGCCTACTTTTTTTTACCACCCATTAACAAACATCCAACCAAACAGACCTTAAAATAATCGATTACGTAAAAAGAAAAAAAAAAGAGGTAAAATCAAGTGAGTAAATCTTGAGATGGGCAGAGCTCTTTGCGGAGCTTTTGAGAAAAAAGCTTGCAGGCGTCCATGCTGAGATCAATCGCCGCCGACAAAGCCACGAAAGCCGCGGCGTCCTCCGTGCAGCTCACGTGCTGCGCGCTCACCTCCACGCTCGGCTTCCCGCTCTTCCCTCTTCCGGCGCCCTCTCCTTCCACGCTCGCCGACATGACAAACCCTCTGTAGTAGTACGGCCACGTGCCCTTCCCGTAATCCCCGCTGCCCCTCGGGCTGCAGCCCGGCGACGTCGCGCTCTTCGGCGTCCTTGACCCGTTCGCGGCCGAAGCCAGATCGATCATGAACCGCCCGCCTTTGCTGCAACTCAGCGTCGACTCGGAGAGCACGATCCCGGATGCGGCCGAGTCCGGAATCAGCTCGAACCGGTATCCGAGTCCGTCCGCAGATCCCCGCTCCCGCCATGCCTCTAAACGGCCCCATGGCTTCCAGGTGCCGTCTCCAGGCCGCAGAATCAGCCACGATCCCGGATTCGACCGGCTGACTCGGTCCGAACCGGGGGAGGCAACGAACGGAGTCACCATTGAGGCTGCCGCAACCGGTGAACCGGAGAGGTCGTGAACCGTGATTGACCATCCTTTCCGCTCCTTACCGGGCCGCTCCCTTTCGCTCCCGAACGAACTTAACCACCCTCTCGAACCACTTTGCTCCATCGCCATTGATCTGTAAAAGCAGAGAAAGTTGATATATGCGTACAATGCAAACAATATAATGTGTAAGACAGAATATATCAAATCTAATAAAAGCAAAGAATTGAACCAAAAGGGACAAAGAACCTGGAGCGTTGATTCCGGTCGGCGGAGGAGCGGAAGCTGAATTTGCAGGTGAAAACCGGCTGACGAATGTTGCCTTGGATTTGGAACACCTGGGGGCTGCATTCCGGCTCTCCGTCGAATTGAAAGACGAATCGCGGGTCCGGTTCAGCCTTGACATTCATGTGAAATTGGGCGGCCGAGTTTTTGTAGTCCTTCCCGACGGTAGTCCAACCACTGTGGAAAACAATGGCTCTGGTCTCCGCCCCCGTGAGATCCAGCGGGACGTACACCTTCCCCAACAGCCTCCCGGAGTTGACGCCGCAGCTCGTGCCCCTCCGGCCAGTGTAGATCGAGATTTTCAGGTGCAATTTCCCTCCGAAAAGCGACTTGGCCGCGAGCTTCTCGAGATCGGACTTGCTCAAATGGAAGCTCGCCGCAAGAGACTGGACCTGGCCGTCGGGGAACTGGTTATCCGGCAGAATGTACGGCACGACGGCAGTCTGGAGAGCAAAGCCCTTCAGCCTGACTTTACAAAAGCAAGGAGACGACGAAGGATGCACCGCCGTGCGAGCAGGCTTGGTCGCCACCGGAATCTTAAGCGCCAGATTCCCCACAGTGAGCCGCACAAAAGGACAGGGATCCATGAAATTACCTCCGGCGAAAGAAAAACTCAACCCAGATAAAAAAAACCCTCAGACTTTCAATTCCAACCCAAAAACAGGCCTGCTAATGAATGACGCCATCATCCATCGTCTTCTTCGTCGTTTTCGCTCACTCTCTTACAGAGGGAGGGGAAATGTAAGAGAGCAAACAGATTCTTCTCCTTTTCTCTTCGGACTGTGTTTCCATATTTTATTTTGGTAAGTAATTAAAGATATTTTTATTTATTTATTTCTTTATTGGGAGAGGAGGAGAATCAGTTTGAGTAAAAAATAAAATAAAAACTGAGAAAACAGAAAAATCCACAGTGCGTGCGTTTGGACTACAGCTGGGAACAGCCTGGAATTGATTTTATGCCAGCGGGAGTTTCTGTTGGGGAGCACGTGAAATGTCAAGACTGCCCCGGGTTGTTCGGGTGAAATGACGCCGGTGCCCTTGTTAGGCCCACGTGAAATCACAGCTCCGGGCCCATCGCTTTGTCTGGTTGTGGCTGTTTTTGTTAACCAATAGGCCCGAAATGTAATGATCAGCTGCGGTGGGGGGAATTATTTTGGGCCGTTGGATGAGGAGGGAGAAATAGGGTGTGTGCGGGCGCAGAGAATGAGACGGGACACGTGGGCTGCCAGGATTGCTTCATTGGCAACACCGTGGATCCAGGTGTGCTTATCCGATGACCTAAGCAACATATCAAAAACTTCAAATTTGGTGCGAAATGCAAAATAATGTTTCATGCAACATGTATGCCTCGTCCTCTACCTGTTTCATTTTTTTATTTTTTAAATATGGTTTTCTACACAAATTTTTCTTTTTCTGGGAGGACTATAAAAGAATGTTTATTGTAGTAAGAAAAATTCATGTTTGTTGTATTTTTTTCATGTTGCTTTGCTTATAAGGAGAATATACTTAGATAATTCTTGTGTAGAGTCTCTGATTCAAAAATAAAAGATATTCTCTTTTTTCACGGATTATATTCAATTCTCGTCCATTACTCACAAGGTCAAATTTTATTTATTTTTTAGCTTCTTTTCCTTGCCGATTTGATTGAATAATATACGTAGTTATGTAACTTTTAGTTTTGTATTTCTTTTGATGTACTTTTGAAATATATAATTTTTATTTTTAAATTTTACACTTTTTTTCATATAAAATGATTTGAAAATAACTTCAATCAAATATTGTAACAAACAATCAGAAGATAATTTTTAGACAGTGGAGTATATTGTAAATAATTTTTTTCATTTTTCATAATAAATTATAACTATTCAATTTTTTTTCTAAATTTTTTTAGTAGTATGAAATCAAGTGGTTCAAATAAAGCTTGAGAGTACATTTCTTTTACGTAAACACCACCTATGTATTGGACACTATCACGACAATTCAATGCACAAAAATGAGTGTAGATATGGGTTGATGCCAAAAAAAAATTACCAAAAAAAAGTGTTTTTGTAATGATCAACCAAGACAGTCAATGCAAATAAATAAGTTAACATTTGGTTTTTGGGTAGTAAACAAAAATTGAGGTGCAGTTTTGGTATATTAAGAGGCCTGCAACATAATTTACCCTTTGGCAAAATTATTTCAATTTACGGAGTATGAACTTTATTGACAAGATTTTCAACTATAGACTAACTTTTCTCATCATGTTGACTAGTCGAGTGTATAATTTATCTTTGTTCGGTATTTAGATATAAAAAAAATCCAAAATAAATTGACAATGTTAACTTTATTTGCACATATACTTCGTATTATTGGTTTAGGTTTTTCCGTACAAATAACGTCCTTAAATCATGGCAATGTATATATGCTTCTTTTATGCTATTGAATTGACTTTATATTCACGCATGCAATTACCATAAGCTTGTTTTTTTTCATCTTAGTAAATACTCCGTATAATATACCCCAGGCCTCCATCCCGAATGGCTAACGAAATTAATTAAATGAATAAATAATGTTTATAACACAATAAATAATCAACAAACAGTTTAATTTAAAATGAAGTACAAAGTTTAATATAGTTTTTTTAAACTATAGTAAGTGTTATTTTGCAATTCATAACATTATTTAAACAAATTGAATTAAAAATTAAATTTTAAAACTTTCGCGCAATGAGACAATTAATTTAAGAAACAAAAAGTATTGCTCACCTATTTTAGTCGCCACTGTTAACATAAGCCCGAAAGTTGACATGAAAAATATTTGAATCTATTTTTAACCATTTCAATTTTAAATGTTCACCCAAGTTCGAGTCTCATCGGAGGTATTGACTCTTTGTATATTTTTATGTCGAGAAATGTATGAACAGATGCTATACTGTAATCGAGTTACTAACACTCAAAATAATAATAATAATAATAATAATAATAATAATAACAACAACAACAACAACAACAATAACAGTAATAATAATAATTGGTATTATTAGTGAGTAGTACGGAGTATTATACTTGCAACATGATATTGGCTTTATACTAACATGAGGTTTGTATATCCTTCAAAAAAAACATGAAGTTCCTATTTGTTTTTTTATGAAAATAAATAAAATGCAAATTTGTCTAACTTAAGTTTCTTTCAAGCATTTTCTTTGTTGATTTTGAGCAGTGAGTGATTTAGACTTCAAATCGATTCATAAATACTCCATAGTGTGTTTTCCTTAGGCCCGGAGGTGCTCATCACAAAGTGTCCTGTTGCTTATCACACCCCGACACTTAGCATCATATCAGCTTTTATCTTTTTCATCACAATTATCGGTAGATAGTGGATCAGACTATCGTGTCTAATTTTTTATTATCTATTTTAATCAAAATTTACTTAAAATAAAATTGTTAAGTAAATAATTCATTAACATTAAAATTAAAATTAAAATTACATTGATGCAATAAAAAATAAATGGGATAAAAAAAATATAATTATTAAAAAATGTTTATAAAAAAATTCGCCATCAGGAAATGGGCGTAGCGAAATTCCACGAATGCTCCACACCTTATGGTCTAAGTTCGACTCCAGTTCACTTGGAGTCGATCGGCTTCGAACTAAAAGAAGCTAGAAACTACCAAACCAAGAAAAGAGACAGTGGAACAGGATATATACAAAACAGAATACCCCTTCACTCTCGAACACAGTTTTAAAGAAAGCGAATTTGTGAACCCACAGCTACTTAAAAAAAAAGTGTCAATGTGCAAAGTTCAGAAAAATATACATAAACCCATTCATTGCCACGAAAGGAATGGGCATGGCAGATGGAAAGAGTGGGTGGAAATGGGTTTTAGAAAAATAGAACATAAACAGGGTGGCTTATTGTGCAGGCAGCTTCAATAATAATAATACCCTTTGGCGTGCAGTGATCAAATGCCCACTCCAATTAGCTTTCCTTTTTCCACCCCCCTACGTATATACTACTTGTGCTTCACTAGACTGAGGAGAAAATCTGTAAAAATGTGCTCATATTCCGGCATCTTCCCATATCCTGCAACACGCCGAGGATGAGTTAAAAACCTTGCCTCAAAATTCAATACTCCTAATTCGCGTATGGATATAAAAACATGTTTGAACCTTCATTAAGCTGCGATTACCTGGAAAATAATTGATATCTATAACATAGTAGCAGTCCTTGGTTCCATGTTCTCTAATAATATCTAGGTTGAAGAGCCGAAGGCCCTGCATCATGATTAGCAAAAAAAATGGTGTACAGATCAAGCACTTTTAGCTCCATTCTCAAACTACAAAATTAAATGGAGAAAATAATACAGTAATAGTGTTAGATGAATACCAGTCGACGACGAAGCTCCCTAGCAAGTCTCTCAAGCAACGGCCGTGGAGGAAGTTCTGCAATAATAAGATTTAATATAACAAACAAAAAAGATGTTATTGCCAAAATTCTTCTTCTTCTTTTTTGAAAATATATGGAGCATAAGAGGGATTGATCACCGGCAACGGAAGGGTCTAAATCCTCAGCATCATCAGCAGATGCAGCTGCACTGGAAACCCTTGGAAAACGGAAAACCCCACAACTCTTTGATGCTTCGCGTCTACCAACGTCTGGTAATGAAAACCGTCTCACCACCTTAATCGCTTCCCCAACAATATAAACCTTAAACATGACCCCACCTATAACAACATATGGCAAAAGAAATGAAAAAAATTCGGTTGACAAACTGAGTTTGAATGAAGTTTCAAAACATACCATGGTTTATAAACTCTTGCAGCACAAGGGGTGGTTCAAGTTTCTGAAGGGAAAGTTTATCATATGCAAGTGATAACTCATGCGATTTTGCAACCAATGGCTTTGCAACTGAGAAACAACAGTTACTTTTATAATTAAACTCCGTAATAGTAATCATAATACAGAGTAATAATAATATTTATATCAATAAAAACAAGCATAGTAATAATAAAAGTAATACAAAGCACAGACAATATAAGAGCCCAGAAGACACATAAAAGCAGAGAAAGCACAGAGCAAACAAAGCACACAACAAAGCATTCAAAGTACACAACAACAAGTGCATAACCATATTAGAATTAATATTTGAAGTAATGCAGATCAAAGCATATGAAGATAAGGAGAATAGAACCATACCAAGAGGTAATCTCAGTTGAGCATTACTCACAGCTGCTGGAATTGAGGAAGGATCATCCTCAATAACCAATTGTCGGGGAACACAAACTTTTCCTGCACAAAAATAAAGAAAAACACATAATACATTTATTTGCAATCAAAGAAACGAGAAATAAATTTGTATCCAAAAAATTATTACCATATGAATCTGACATCTTCAAGTCTGCAACATCTTGAAGCATGGATTGACGACTATACAGATGCTCTATTGCATCTGGGGGATCAAGTACTGTCACCTCTGGATGTTTCATCCTGTAATCCTGAGAGCAAAGTGAGGAAGAACACATACTTATGCGGATACATGTTCATTTGCCATCAAAATATTTTAAAATTTCTAGCAACATACTTTGCTACAGTAAAATATTCAGGTATAGATATTCAGAGTATAATACTCCGTACAATACTACAATATTGACATCCATATTTCCTAACAACCAAAAAACTATTTAGAACTGGTTAAAAAAGTATTATGTGACGTATTCAGTAAAAAAATGATATCCTGAGAACCAACCTCAAGAATACTCTGCCACTTCTTTCCTGTTAACTGCATCAACAAGGAGAAGAAACAAAAAAAACATAGAATGGTCAGGGAAAACGAGGGTGATTATTTGCATTCAGATCTTGTTTTATACCAGATACATAATATTAAGGGATTTTGATATTGCCACTCCTATATTGATATTGCCACTCAACACTACTAAAATTACCAAAATTAACCCTACTCCCTCTATCATTATAAAAAATCATCTTATCCGGAAAAGCATATTCATCCACTCAATTATCTTATGTGCAGCTTCTCAATCTATATCAACATATGAGTGACAATATCCACATAAATCATTCACTCCGTCTGCCCCACAATAAATTTCATATGACTTCATGGAATTCAAAGAAGTGTTTAAAAATAAATAAAAATGTGTTGTCAAGTAGGGGCAAGGTCTGCGTACACACCCTCCTCAGACTCTACTTTCGTGGGATTCAACTAGGTTGTTGTTGTTGGCTTTTTGTGCTATGTACTTTCTCAATTTTNGCTTTTGTGTTCATGTGCTATATGTGTTACTTGAGTCAGGGATTTCTTGGAAACAGTCTCCCTACTTCTGAGTAGGGATAAGTATGTGTACACACTACACCCCCCCCCCCCCAAACCCTACTCGCCTGAGATCTACTGGGTTGTTGTTGTTATCCCTCTCTCCTACAAAGAACTTCAACTTTCCTTATTTGGATGTCCTAAAAAACATTACTTCTACTTTTTCCACAAAAGGCAAGGAATGTTTGACCTACAAAATTTCTCTTTTCTAAACAAATTTGACACGTACACTTTTCAACACTTTTCTTGAATTCTACAATTAGGAATATTGAAAAATTAATAAAATTGTAATTATCATATATAATTAAAAATAGCAAGTGAAGGGTACTCCATTTGAAATAAGTAAAAAAGAATGGATAATTAATTATTTTCTTCTAATTTGTATTTAACTCCATTCCTTTGGCCATTTTATGATAGACATTTAGAGCTATTGCTAATTTATGGCACCATATACAAAGGCTATTTTAGGTATAACACATTTCGGCGGAGTGGCAATAACAACATAGGATTGGCAATATTAAAATCCTAAATTAAGAGACACAAAAAGGAATAGGAAAAACTCAAAAATCTCAAATAAACATTACCTTATGGAGCACTATATCAAAAGGACCTTGTTCAGAAAGAGGTCTACTTTCATCTATAGCAATAAATAGTATTCCCTTCTTTCTGCATTTTAGAACAGAAAAATTTGGTTGATTGCAGATGAGACGGTATAACTTAAGTTATTAGTGCCAATTAAATTATACAAGAATTGGAAGAAATCTGAAAAAAGTTAGCTAAGTGAATCATATCTTCATACCATGTATTCAAAGTTTATTTGGATTTTGGAGCTTAGGTCCAAAATTGTAGAAATGAGGTCAATCAGTAGAATTCACAATAGCATTCTAAGAGTGAATGAAAAATGATGTTTTCACGATACTCCAAAAGTGTGACAAACAAACATTTAACTTTTCACTGTGTACTGATCACTTAAATGTCATGCAATCCCAAATTTCTTCTTGAAAGAACGTTTATCTCAATGATTCCAAAAGAATGTTACTTTTGTGATTCCCAATGATAACAAAGAAACACACTAATATACTACAGGTGATCAAGATGTATCAATTTTACCCCTGTTGCATCAGAGATGTTTCCATAAGACCCTAGATGTGTTGTTGCATTTACTGCCTAAAACTTCATAGAAATTAAGTCTTTGTACCAATTTAGAAATTTGAAGAGTGTGTATGATACTATGAATGAAAGCAACCCAACAATAAATTTACTGCACTCAACTTTTGAAAATCCAAATTCATATTAGAACCTTGATAATTAAGTATGCTTGCGAATGGTGATTCGGTGACTATAAAAATGAAGACTTCTTGAACTTTAAAATGCAAGTGGTGGTGAAATCGAAGCTAAATTATACAGTAATAAATTCCTTAGCCCTTTCATAGAATTTTCAGTGCATGAAAGAGAACAAGTTTCTTGGTTGAAAATTAGTTTGCGCTATTGTAATTTGTACGAGTTTGTAAAAGGTGTGACATCAAACAGGCCAAAAAGGTATACAGAAGACCATAAACAATCGAGAGTTACCACAGGCCAGGATATTTCAAAGACCCCAAAACAGGCCTAAGATACAAAGAGTAATAAAAAAAAACTTAAATTACGTAGCTTAAAAATCTAGTACTTGTTGGAACTTCACTGGGCCGAGTGAATTGGGCGGAGTGTCGGGTGAGATTTGACCTCTTTCTCATATAAAATCCGGATCAACTTTCTAACCAAAAGCTTAAGCCAATGGGTAGTGCTTCACTTTTATTTTTTATGGGAGTAGTATTTTTTTATATTAATTGGGTGTGGGACACACATGAATCCCCCCCGCCCGTGGTAACTAGGCTGGTCTAATTACTACTTGGATGAATAAATGGATCTAGCATCTCAATCACTTTATAGATAGCCCGGCGAATACAAGGATGAATTGAACCCGAACCGAACTTGGCTCTGATACCTTATTAAAAGTTTGGTGGGCCAAATGAATAAGATGCAGTGTCAAGTGAGATTTGATCATTTTCTCATATAGAGTCCGAATCCGCTTTTTAACCAAAAGCTTAAGCCAATGGATAGTGTTTCACCTTTCTTTATATGTGAGTAGTATTTGTTGCATTAATCGGGTGTGGGAGATGGATGAATTCCCAACAGTAGTCCACAACAAGTGTTTCATCTTCTACATCCATCATTCGCTCCCAATGGTTGAATCATGTAAATTGTTGCCTCCTCGTCCTACTGTAGATGTTTTTCATCCGTATATCTTTCTGTAATCGACATTATGTTTTGTAGGTTTCACCTAAGCATGATCAAACAAAAGGTGTGTAGGGGACTTTTGAGCTAAGTTCTGTCACTGAATCTGGGCATATAGTGTTTTAGCACTTAGAAACATGAAGGTGTACGTTACGGTCCCATATGTTGAAACCATTGTCCACGAGATGTTAATTCAGATGCAGATGCGGGTGCTACCGGCTTACCCTCTAAATTGAAATCAAAATATTAAAAACTCCCCCAATAGGTCATCATTCGAGTATCTTCTCAAAATAAGTACATAAAAAAGACTACCAATAGTTTATACATTCATAAACCATCCATCAATGTATCAAATTAACACGAACAAATGGCATTTGAAAAATCACCCAAGGATACCACTACCAATCAAATGTGTCTCTCACACAAACAGAATTGCAAAACACATCTTTGAGTAACAAATTCCTTTCAACAAAGGAATAAATTGAACAAACAAAAATAAAGTGAAAATTACCTAGCTAGACGTTCGAGCTTGGGCTGCAAAAAGCTCTTAGTTTTTTTGGAAGTGAGAGCATAGCCGACAACCACCGCGTATTTATGAGGCGCTGCCGCAATCTCGTCCATCATCTCCTCATCTTCCCCCTCGTGTCCAGGAATCTCGTCTTTCATCTTCATGCCGAAAGAAATTCTCCTTTCAAATCCGAAACCTAAACCGGTTCGAAATTGTTCAATCTATTGAAATCGAGAAACCGTATGAGCTAAATTTCCCCGATTGGCGGTGAATCTCGGGAAGAAAACAGAGTAAATCCAGTTGCAGAGGAAGGGAGAAACTGGGGATAGATAGATGTCACAAGAAACGGTTGGGGAAATGCAACGCGTAGAATGGCGGTACAATGTCCACAGCACACGACACAAAGTAAAATAAAAAATGACGAAGGTGCTGGTGAGTTCAAAAAATTTGGTAGTGCAACTAGGGAACTAGGGGTGTAAACGAACCGAATCGAATATCGATATATTTGAATTTGTATTTGTTTAATTTTTTCGAATACGAATCCAAATCCGAATATGAGACGAATTGAAAATAAGATTTGAATAAGTATTTGATTAATATTCGAATAGTTATCAAATCATAAACGAATATTTGAATAATCATACTATGCAATTTATATGATGGACCAACATCAATTTGTAATTTAACTTACGATACTCTTTGTACTATACTATATTCTGTATATAAAAACATTAATACATTTGCATCTTACACAAATTATATTTTATAAAATATAACTATTAAAAATCATATGCTTTAAATTTTGGTGTTACGTTAATTTATTGAATTTTTAGTATTTTAAATACACTTTATACTATATTACTTTGCTTGACTTTTGATGTTGAAAACATGGTCTGTATATATATACATATATTCGAATATCATCTGAATCGAATATATCCCTATTTGTATTTGTATTTGATTAATATTCGAATCAAAAAAAAATATTTGAATTTGATTTTGTATTTGAATAACGCGAATTCGAATCATCATATTCGAATACAAATCACGAATCGAATTTAAAATATTTGATTTGTTTACATCCCTAGGTGCAACCAAATATACAGTACTCCCTCCGTTTTAAAATTAACTTCTCATTTGACTTTTCATGGTCTCTAATGCGACACTTTGACCATTAATATCTCCATTTCTATATGAATATATATAATAAAAATAATATATTTCAAAACTATGTTTCAAAATGAATCTATTGATAATAAATTTATATGAATATTCAATATATATTTTCTGTAATATACAGTCAAAGTTTAAAAAGTTTGAGTGCAAAAGTCAAAATGAGAAGTTAATTTTAGGATGGAGGGAGTAATATTTGTATGATTCACACTAACACAAATTATGAGTACGTTAACAAAAATTTGTACTAAAATTTTGTATCCGTGTAAACTATTTCTCTAACATTACACTGATACAAAATGTAAGTGGAGTACAAATTGAAGTATAAATGTTTGAGTACAAAAGCTTAGTCCAAAAATGAAACCAAACTCTTATCCCTTCTTTTAGAGCGAGAAATTTGGAAGGAAAAATGGAAGGAGAGAAAAAGTTTGAAACTACTTCTTTGCCCTTCAAATGTTTAAAATTATTTAATCCTTTTGTACAAAAATATTATTTTACATCACCAAATTTCTTTCTCTTGCATTTTTCTCCAATCAAAGGAAAGGAAATATCTTTTTTTTTCTTCTTATTTTCTACTCATTCAAACAATAAAAAAATCAGACAAAAAATAATATGATAAAAGACTTTGACCTTGTTTGGGAACAACGTTTTCGATTTGCATTAGCATTTTGCATAAAATTTTAATAGTGTAGATTAATTCTGAAAACACTAACGCTAAAGGCTACCGCTATGGCGTCATATGGACTTTTCAAAATGCTAGCGCTAACTTCTAACATTGATGTCAAACGAAACCTTTAACAAATTCAGGCCTTAACATTCTCTTGTTACTTCACACTATAAAGTTTTTGTGCTTTTCTAAAATTTAAGTTATTCCGACAATTTTTAATTTTTATAAGTAATATATGTAAAATAGATAAAATATGTTTAGAATACAACTGTCCTTTTCCTTATTTGAGTTACGCTAGAGGCGTAGTGTGACATTAAGATCTATTTTCATTCGATGTTTAGTTGTTTTTACCAGTTGACATTAAGTGCTAATATTATCCTCCGTATTCGAAACACACAGTTCTTATATAAAAAAAGATGGGTAAACAAATTAGGGCGGTTCATATTCAAACATCCAACATTGTCACAGATGGATTATTTCTTCTATTTCGAAAAGAAAAGAACACATCACAAGTTCCAAATGCGTATGAAAGTTGTTCTGTTTGCATTTAAAAAGCAACAAGTTCCCCACCTCTATAACAAAAGTTATTTATGAAAAAAAAACTTTAGAATTCAAAAGCAAGACTCAATTCCTAAGGCTTGCCTCTAGATTTCATGTCGTGTATAAGATTCTTTGTTAACATTTTCAAAATCATTCCAACTATATAAAAAAACTACACTAAGAAAAACCTCTCTCAACCACGAATTTCCTGAATAATGGAGCGGAGCTTCTCGCCACCAATAACCGATCCCAATTCTCTCATGAAACCGTCTTTTCCTAGTTTCCCATCCTGCAAAATAGACGGATAGAATATTTTATGCAAAACAAAAAAAAAAAACAGAAGTATGCCAACGACTAGTAACTCTACTCCGTCTCTACTTATTAGTTACATTTACTCCTCCGCCACATTTGAGTTTGGTCAAGGGAAAGTGATGAAAAAGGGAGTAGTCCTCAGTTATATTTGACTGGATAAATTGAAAAAACTCAACTATCATTACCTTCCATGAGCAATACAGGGTTTGCAACTCGTGCAGCTTTGGAGGGGGAAGAGTGCTTCTCAACTTTGTAATCAGCTTTACATAAAATCCACGTGCATCGTTTGGGGCACATTTCATATACGCAGAAGTTATTTCGCCTATAAAATCGTTGGGACTTAAGTGAAAATGAACCAAAAATTATTAATGCAACAACACAATAAAAGACTAAAAAGGAAAAACGGCATTGCCAATCTTTCAAAACAACATACCAATAACTCACCCTATTTACAAGTAACAAACGGAACTTCAAAACAACCTTTTCCCACACCCCATATCTCGGATGTGTTTTTTTTCAAGTCACCGAAGGGTGAAGACCTATTACTTCCAAAACTCATCCACACCAGCACTAACAAAATCCTTATCGTTATACTTGTGGGTCTTTTCTTAAACTCTTAGTGTGTCTCCAATAGAGCAACATGAACTAGTATTTAGCATTTAATGTTGTCTCTGAGTGACTCTTTCCTAGGAAGTTTCAAGACATTGCCAAGAACTTTGCTTGTCATTTCCTAGAAACTTCTATCCTACTACTACAGAACATTCATTCTTACACCGTATTACTTAGTAGCTACCAACCCTTTCCCAGGAAGCATTTTTTTCCCATTTTTATGGGCAGTGATGGTGTGTATTCACCAGAGGATCACTCTATTATTCAAGATCGAGCTGAACAGAGCTAAAAATCAGAACCGCAAATGTCACTCACTTGAGGTACTTGTAGTCATTTTCCCCCTTTTTTGGTTGTCCATTAAAGTTTGCACCTTCTGCGACATTTAATCGCACCCTACTTGTCAATGACTTTGACTTGTATTGGCTTTCCAACTTCTACCAAATACTCTGGTATCTATCAAATCTGTTTAGTAAACTCTGGTTTCTATCAAATCTGTTTAGTAAAGAACCTCCTGAAGATTATTATTTGCAAGGGAAAAGGCTAGTTGTGATCTTCACATTCTTCAAATCTTCACATTCTTCATACTCTTCAAATCTTCACACTCTTCATCCACCAGTTATTCCTACTTGTCATTCCGGCAGAGGCAGAAAAGTCTTCACCTTCGAGACCTTGATTATCCTTCCCAAGGTAAAACACTTTCTAGTTGGTGTTGCCACATTAAAATTGTAATGCCCATTGAATGGTTCGATGAAAATATTTACATCTTTCACTTATGCCATGTTCCATGTTCTTTTCTTGACTTCACCATTCTACCACTTACGAACACCTCCCTCTCTGTGCAACCTTGATTTAATACCAACACTGTGAGATATAAGCATGTATAGCTCGAAAAATCAAGAACGCAACAGCACAAAAAATGGGAAAGAAAACTATTTTATATTATTTCAAGACATCAGATAAACCTCACATGTATAAGATGTTTTCCCACATCATTACCCCAGTGTGTTTTTCCCAAGTAACAAAAGACAGTTACTTTACACACTCACTCATAAGCACGCTAACAAAATCCTACCTATGGTGTCTTTTGTGTTTTTGTATTCTTCCATCCACTCTTAGTGTGTTTTCAAAAGCAACAAACACTAGTATTTATAGTGCTCTAGGATGGACTTTCCTAGCATCGTTCAAGACATTGCTTAACAATTTCCATCCTAGTGCCAAAGACAAGTAACTACCTACCCATTTCCAAAAGACTTCTCTTCTTATTTCTTATGGGTGGGTATTTGTAAAGAAATTCAAGTCATAATGTAAAACATAACCTAATTGACTTTTGAGTCCACTTATCCTTTGATTCCTTAACTAAGACCTAACAGATAAAAAAAATTAAATATTGTTTTTATAAACATCTAATAATGCTTACTAATATTCAATGGAAGCACATACAGTGAAAGAAAGAACTTACCTGGAACACCCTTAGCAGGTCTGTAGCTAAGAACAAACTCCGGTATAACGCGGGTGTTCGCATTGGCGCTAAAGACACCGTACCATTGTGGCTCTTTCAGATCGTCCACGCCCGTATCAAAATCAATTCTTGAGTGGCTCCAGTGCAAAGACCCTGCCTCTATCTTCTCACATTTCCCCAATATAACTCGACACAAAATTATATGTTTTTCACCATTTTCATCTACTTGAGCCATCATTGCACTAAACAGAACCATAAAGAAAAATATTGAAATATGTGCATCCCAAGATCCAACATAAAGCCACCAAATATCCAAAACATAAATATACAAAGATGAAATGAGATACCTCATTCTAGGTGATCGAGCGGGTGACAGGTATAAACCAACACCTAGGGTCCCTGTTCCGTGTGCTCCAAACCCATGACTCATGATTCTCTCCACACCCTCTGTTGTAGTCCCAAACCAAGCCAAAACTACATTAGGGTTCCCCCTAGCCTCTCTCACAAGATCTGCCTCCCTGTAGAAGGCATCACATTGATCTTTCTCCAACGGACCTCTTAGAACACGATGAATGGCAGTGATTGCAGCACCTGGTTCCACAACTGCCAAACCTTGGGCAAACAAATTCCTCACAATCTGATGCCCTTTCTCCTGCTCCCCCAGCATCCTCGTTTTCGGCCACCTGGGAGAAACAAATTCACTCTCTTCCACATGTTCCCCTTTCGCCTGAAAGTTGGATGAACTTCCCTCAAACGTGTCCTCCATCTCAGGTTCCTTGCTCTCCCTCTTTCGCTTGTTTAATCCCACCTCGTTATCATTGGAATTCTTGGCCGACTTCAGGAAATTTCCAGTAATCTCAATCGCAATTTCAACTTTTGGACAAACCCAATTCCGGATCTCACTGGAGTTCTCTTCTAAATCAACCGAATCCTTTTCACAATTATAGCAGCTCACAGAAGATTTTGGGAAAAAACACGCACCTTTCACATCAATCCACGCAATTGATCGGAAATTCCCCGTACCCAGATCGATTTCTATCATCCGGTGCAAGTCGAAAAGACACTTGGAGACTCCAATTTCAGCCTCGACAACCGAAATGCCTCTCACGAACCCCGATTTCACCGCCTCCAACACGCCGGTCTCGGCATCCACCCACGAGCCGTTCTCGTACCGCATGAACCGGGCCGGTTCGCCGCTCCGCTTGAAGTTCAAGTAATTCTGAAACAAAAGCTGCCGGTGGCAGGGGACCGGAGCCGGTGCAGAGGTCAACCCCATAGGATTTCTAGGAGCAGGAACCGGAACAGTGACGGCAATCTTATTGTTATCTACAACGCGCGAAACAGCTCCGATCTCCTCCTTGCCGGACACCAGAGTTTTCGTGGTCATCACTCTCAACCTCTTCGAGTCCGAACCCATAGCTAGCTGAATTAGGGTTATAGAAATCAAAGGAAACCCTCCTGAGATTTATATGTACAGAAGAAGAAGAAGAAGAAGATGGATGAGAAGCTCTCTGCTGCGTGAGAACTGACTGAAAATTGAGATTCTCAAGTCTGGAGAACTTCTGGAAAGGGAATGCAAATTGCCGCCTCCAAATTTATACTGTAGATCCCCGTTAGTGGACTGACAAATATGGGTCTGCCCATTGGTCGATATTTTCGGCTAACAATGACGACATTGTGAGGGCATTCGAGTAATTTCGTCGTAAAATGCGAGTTCGTTTTACTTGGGGAACAAGCATTTGCCTATTCCTCCTGTCCCTAGTTTCCTTGGGTAAATTCTTTCATACGGACTATTAAAATTGATTAAAAAAAATATTACTGAGTATGTGTGTATATATATATATATATATATTGAAAAAATATAAAAAAGATATAGTTATTAATTTTCTTAAATAACTAAAAAATATATAATTATTTTATTTTATCAAATAATATAAAAATATTTTACAATCTTTTGTTTTCCGATTTTATTAACATAATAATGATTTAAAGTCTATTTGGGAACAATATCAAAGTTTAGAGTTAATATTTTAAAAACAAAAAAAATTGTTTTTTGATATCATTTTAAATTTGGCATTTTTAAAACTTATCGACATTAAAATTTTATACAAAATATTAATAATAAAAAATTTCTTACAAATAGTCTTCTAATTTTAACGATAGATCGAACAATTGGACAAGATTTATATTTCTTTGGGCACAGCAAAAAAGAAGGAAGAAAATACTTTTTTTGGTACAAAGAATTATTTTTCCCTCTATACATATACTCCATAGAGCCTAAAAAACTCCCTACATGCCTAATGATAGTTTTTATTTGTTGTTTCTTTAAAGATGAACGGCTTATAAGATCCTATGTTTTTTTGAATGTGTTTTTTCCAAGTCTTTAAATTGTCTTAAGAATTTACTAGATCTTTTTTTAAATGTTTCATATATTCCTAAATTATTTTTAGTAACTAAAATGTCTATATACTTTCTAACTAATGCCTTAATAATCTCTTCAGTGGCATTATACCCTTTCTTTAACCACAAATAAAACAACAATAATCCAATTAGAAATCACTTTAAATAAGAGTAAAATTTTGAGAAAGTATCAAAATATTAGTTCCATATTTTTATTCCTTAAATAGGAATTCATAATGTAGTAACGCGGCACTGTACATAGGCATTTTACTATATATATTTTTTGGAAATCTACATGATTGGTAATGCAAATGAATTTTAACTCCTATTTCATGAATAAAAACATGGAACTCATATTTTGGTATATTTTCAATATTTTACTTCTACGTTAGTCTTTTTCTATTTTATTATTAATGTTGCAAGAGCCATAGGCCCCGTTTGGCATCAGCGTCAGATATTAGCATTAGCGTTTTGAAAAAGCTATCCGACGGTAGCCTTTAGCGTTAGCGTTTTCAGAATTAATATGCACCGTCAAAATTTTATCCAAAACGCTAATGTTAATCGAAAACGCGGTTACCAAATAAAGTCATAGTCTTTTGGAAATAACCTCACTACTTTTGAGTAGAGGCAAGGTCTTCATACACGCATATTCTCTAGACCCTACAATCGTGGGATCCAAATGGATTGGGGAAAAAGATTAAATTAGAAGTAAAACATTGAAAACATACTAAAATAGAAGCTCTATGTTTTTATATTCAAAATATGAGTTAAAAAGAATTTATATTATCAATCATTACTATGTACATTACGTAAAATGCACATGTACACTGCTAAATTACCACAATACAAACTCATATTTAGAAAGTAAAAACACAGAATTCATATTTTAATATTTTCTCTATGTTTTAGTTATATTTAGGGTGATTTCTTGTTCTAATTTTAAGATATTCCACTTACTAAACTCTAAGTTTTAGGTTCAAATTATTCTCAAAAAAAAATCTTGTTGAAATTATGACAAAAAAAACGACTCTCCAAATTAAAGTATTTTGTGTGATTATACAACAATCTTAGCTTAGTCGCGAGTTGGAGCCAACAAGTCACAAAAGCCCGTAAAGCATTTCGTTCATGGGCTCAACAACAGCGGGAATATGTTATAGAAAGGCTCGAAATAGATTTGAAAGTCACAATGAAAGATTTGAAAGATAATTGGCCTAAAGATCCAATTTTATCATTTGGTGAAAGATTGTTTCTTCACTTTAAAAACAACCAATGATCTCGTGATCAAACAATATTATTACGGTTATTTCAAATAAAAGATTATAGATCCGAACTGAGCATTATTGACTCTTTGAATTACATTTAATAGATGTCATATTATGTACTCCGAATGGAATTAAAGTTTTCATTCTTGTTTATGAAAATTGATCGATTTTATTTTAATTCAATTTATTTGATTATAGAGGAAAATAAAATCCAAAAATAAAATGTATATACAAGTATTTTATAACTACCGTACATTAAAATTTTTCAAAATAAAAGCTGAGAATCCCGGTATGACCATTTCATATACTCCGTAATTAAATACAAAGTAAATAGTAAAAATAAATAAAAGAAATTAATGAAAGTTGATCATTTGAATAGTTTTTAAATCGATAAAGTAATATAAAAAATAAAGAGAAGAGGTGGCCCACTAACAATCTAATCAAGGCATAAAAAATACTCATAGGCCCTTTTTGAAAGGTGGTGGTTAGCTATTACTCAACTGTTAGTTTTTTGTGTTGGCTGGTTTGAATAGCCGGTGGAGCTAGCTATTTTGACCTATCGATTGCATTAACTGTTCACAAAAAATGTTTGGCAAACTTAGCTCCTTTTAAATAGTTGTTATATTTAAAAATTTAATTTTATGTATATGGTTTGTTGAACATAATATAATTTATTTATCATGAATCAAAATTTTGGAAAATAAACTAAATATTGCTAAAACATAGTCATTTTCCTAATGTACTACTCCCTCCGTTCTGAAATGTTCTTCCCACTTACTATTCACACGGTTAAACTTTAATCACTTTCTTTACCTATTTTCATTAGGTATTTGATAACATAATAGTCTTGTCACCACTTGTTTTGTAGAACTTTTGATATAGTTTTTAAATATATAAATTTTATTTTTTAATTTTATACCTACAATCAAATAAATTGAATTAAAAAATAAAGCCGGTCAAACTTCGTAAACAGAACCGAGAAGAACATTATAGGACGGAGGGAGTATCATATTTTGGGACATTGTTCGAATTAAATGTCAATCATCACTGGACATTGTTCCCGTCTCTAGACATTATTCAACTACTATTTAAGGAATAAAAAAGTTTAAGTACTATATTGGAAAAAAACATACGGAGTATGTTTTAGTACTATTTAGTACAAATTTTACTAAAAATTTATAAAATATACTCCTTAATATGTTCTGCAATATATAATATAAAACAATTCATATATATATATACGGCTAGGTTCATGGTTCAATGGTTGGGTGGCCAATTTCAATTTCACCATGAATACTTACGGAAACAAAAAGGGAATAATGGGCGTAATTAAATTTCGAGAAGATAGTTTCTTACCGTAGGTTAGGTTTAATTTTGGCCGATCAGAGGAGATAGAGCTTATGGGCGCTGTGTTCAATCTTTAGGGATCTCGCGATTCTTGTCCAAACTCGGATCCCATGCTTAATGCTTTCTTCATCAATCCAGGCAGGCAATTGATCTTCCTTTAGTAATTGTTCTCTTATTTTATTTGTTTTTTACTTTTTGTTTTCCTTAATCTTTATGTTTTTCTATTCTCTTGTCCCACAAAATGTGTCTAATGAAAATGGACTAGATTTATTTTTTAATTAAATTTATTCAAATGTTAATGTATAATTCAAAATCAAAATTTATTACCGGAGTATTTACACATTCTATGTTTGAGATCTTAAATACTATATGGCATGCTTTTGTAATTTCAAATTAAGAATCATCATGGAAGATTGGAAGTGCAATTCTAACAAAGAGAATCTACCATATCTCTTGTCATGGAAATGGAACTAGAAACATTTTAAAAGTCATCATGTTGGGGTGCATGAATTGAAGCAACAACTAATCTGACAACCTATTAAAAAAGAATGTATTTTCTACCCCTTGAATTGGTTTAGTGGCTTTTATAAGCTTCTTCTTGCACAAACCATTTCCACAAGCAGAAATTGGAGGATATTTGCATGCATGTAGTTTTATTGAAAACATTGCACATATGTACATGCATTCCACATTTGGTATTGGTGGATGAAACATGTCATTAACAATCATTATTGAGCTTTGAAAGGTTTGTAGGTCTTGACATCAGAAGCCAGGCCCTGGATAGAACCAGCTGCAGCAACGAGGGAGACGATCAAACAAGTCCAACTCAATATCTTCAACCATATCCATGTAAAGGAATACTTTGGTATCTTGGCTTGCGCGATGTGCATCTCAATGGGGAAGAAAACGGTCAAGGGATAGAAGGACACTGCTCCGATCAAGCCCAAGAAGTCATTGAAGAAAGGGAATATCATGGCTATCAATGCCGTGACTATCACATATGCGGTTCTCCACACCAACCTGAACATGTTTATGGTGTAAGCTCCCAAGAAGGGAATTCTAACCTCATGATCAACCGTCACGAATTTGCTATCTTTCCATTTTTTGTTGCATTTTGATTCCACAGCGTTGAATATCGGCTGACAAAAAACCTGCGCGTGAGAAATTATTTCAATAATTTGGTCAAAATCTTAAGAAGTCACTAGGGCTTATTTGGGAACAACGCTTTCAATTAACATTAACATTTGTAATTTTAAAACAGTGTAGATTAATTATAAAAACTTGAAAGCATCATTAGAGAGTCTTTTTCAAAATGCCGAAGTTGCTTGATTGATTGCTCGCTTGCCTGGTAAGCTCCAACGAGATGGATGGCAATACAGACGTTGGCGAAGTCAACCAACCAAAAGGGCTCGTAGAAGCCAAACCCTGTGAGGAAGTTGCCTGGGGCTTTGTTTCCAAATGCGGCATAGCCCATGGAGCCACACAAAATGTAAAACACGGTGGTGGTCGTCACTCCTATCAAGGATGCTTTCTTCATCACCCTGTTCTCTGGTGGGTGGGATCTCAACGTATCCTGAAATCGTCAATATTCTCTAGAGGTAAATATTAATTCGACTTGACATTATTAATTGTTATACTCGTGACATCTTGGGATTATTTTTTTGTTCAACAATCAAAATGTGAGGAACAATTTTGCCAAAATATTCCCCCTAGTTCATAAAGTTTCAAAATTCCGAATAGGGGCCGGGCCATATATTCCTTGTGATGTGATGTTTTGTGTGAAAAATGGATTATTGGTGATCATAATAGGAGCAGTGGGCTTTCACATCTAGCACGAATTGGCCCATAAGTGGTCCGCCCACTCACTCTAGAAATGGTCCATCCTCAATCGCACGTTTTCTTGCTTCTTTTTTGAATTTATGGAAATATATGTATATAGCCAAACACCTTTACCCCTCCCTCTTCTGGAATCTTTATATTAAAGCCACAAAAAAAGACCACATGGCCATTTTTAATGGATAAATTGAAAGGTCGTTGTTACATTATTAATCTGAAAATAACATTAAAATGATACTTCATCACACTTGGAAACATGAAAAGTTTTGATTTTTAAGAGAGTATATATATATAAGAATGATGGAATACCTGAATCTCAATGAGGACGGTGGAGTAGGCGTATGCAAAGGCAATATCGCCGATGGCTTGGAAGCTTCTCCACACTTTCTCTGCCCCCGTCACATCCACCCCCACCGTCACTCCTGTTATGCTCGTCTTTACCTCGTGGTGGTTCATATGATTCCCTTCAAATTCCGTCACCAACTTAATTTAAATTACACTACGGTCGCATATAGTTATGGGACGAAGTAAAATTACACCATTTTCCCTGTTTCTAAATAAATACTCCGGGTATTTTATTGTATAAACAGACCGTGCTTTGTAATAGAGCCAAAATCTCATTCTCCTGCCTTTAAAAAAACAATTTTATTCTTGCTAATTTTTTGGGATGGCTATCATATCATATTTTTTACCAAATAATCTCCTCATTGCCTCATTGATAATTTGGGAAAATCAACACAAATTATTTTTTTCCTTAAATTAGATAAAAGACCAAGAAGGAGATTTCTACTCCCTCCGCCTAAAAATTATCTTTCTCGTTGCGCGTTACGATGTTTGACTGAAGTCATTTTCAAATGATTTTATACGAAAAACGGTGTGAAATTTGAAATATAAAAATTACATATTAAAATATCTAAATCAAAAGACGTACAATGCTAAAAGTGACTGCTGACATGGCCATATTATTTTATATGGAAAATAAACTAACAAAGTAATTAAAATTTGATGATAAGAATAGTGAAGGGGAAAATAACTTTTGGACGGGATGAGAGGACGTATTTGATGTGAGGTTCCAAGTTTACTCAGGATTTTAATAAAGAAAGTGCATGTAATGAATGAAGACATGTGAGAGAATTAAAGGCACCCGCGCACCGATGATTCTGGCGACGGAGAGGGCGAGGCCAATGGAGGAGTAGGCGAAGGACATGACAGCGGCGAGAATGGAGAGCCACGAGAGCTTGTGGAAATTGGGGATTTGACTCAGAAGGATCTGGACGCCGGCGAATATCATCATGTACGGGTAGTTCGACACGCTGCAATCCGCCCCGTGCCCCTCCTTGTGGTAACAGTTTGACTTCTTCACCGCCCTGATCATCAATCATATCATCCCACCATTAATTTAATTAATTTGTTAACTACTCCGTAATTAATTAATTAATCACGGGTCGAGTATTATTGTTGGTATCATCATAAATACACACTTATGTCCCTCCCAGTCAATTTTGTCGCCTTTCTCATTACTACTCTTTACTCCCCCCGTCCCCTTCGCTATATCCAATAATCATTGGAAATATGTAAAATGTACTTCTTCAAATAAAGATTAAATTCTATAATTAGTTCTTTATGACAGAGAGATTTCTCTATTTAATTCTCTATTATCAAATATTAACTTAGTGATCCTTCTTTTATGGGTATCTTTCCACAAATAGTTCTTTTTTTATCTTCTATCATGTTGGTGTTAATTTAAGGATTAAAAGAGTAATTTCACAATGAAAATATATCTTTTTTGTCATGCACAATTCCAAAGGCAGTTCCGTTTGCTTTGTTTGTGAATTACAGTCGCTTTTTACTACAATCATAATCTACAAATGTGGTCTTTCATCAGAATCCTAGCCCACAATCATAGTCATTATTTTTGTTTTATCCACTTAACCAATATCAGAACACGTTACTAGATATAATATTGATGTCAAATTATACGTTTAGTCTTTAAATTAACACGAACATGGGAGAAGATAAAAAAAGACCATTTGTGGAAAGACACCCTTAAAAAAAGACTACATGGGTAATATTTGATAATAGAGGACTACATATGGAAACCCCCTGTTATAAAGGACCAATTATGGAATTTACTCAAAAATAAATTTCTCATTTTGAACGGCATGCAAAATTTTACTTTTTTTAAAAAATTAATTTCTTTACAAATTGATATATCATAAAAAAGTATAAATTATATTATTCAAAACTTACATGGATATTTTATCTTATCAAATGATTAATAAAAAATTGTAAACAAACATGAATTATCAGTAATAATAAGTGAGAAATTTGTTGTTAGACGAATGGAGTAAATAAATTATTCATATTCTTCCTCCATAGCAATAAAAAAAAGAGTCTTTCGTAGTGAAAAAGGGGCTACTTTTAAATTAATTAGTAGATCGAATTATCTAGGAAACGTGTACTCCTTGACAATTAATATTTCTACTAATGAAGTGCGGGTGGACGGTGGAGGTAAAGTGATACTGTCAAAAATAAAAAATGGAATCTTGTGTGTTAGGGGCCGAACACATAAAGCCGTATCAAGTGTAATTTGTCACTCGATCTCCTCCAAAAGGGATTCCATCTCCCTTTATTTATTCACAATATTATTTATTTAGTAAAAAAAAAATACTCTGTATAATTATTTAGTAAAATACAATATATAGATTAATAATGAATAAATATGATGTGATACAAAATATTAAAATTAGTTGGAGTAAACTTGAGTTTTTAACCAGAGTAGAAACTAATTTTTTACTTCAACATTTCCTTTAATTTCTTAAAAATAAGAATAGATGATATAAAGAAAATTGGGATGAAATGATGGAGCGGGAGTAAATGGGATCATTGATTGATTGTCTTAATTGAATGATATATGAATGCTTACACCATGCTAATGGAAGCGGTAATGGTGTATCCGACCGTAACTCCGACCAGATTAGTATATTGAGCAAGCCCACACAGTGTAACCTTCAACCCTCCTGCAACCATTATTAATTACACTAAGGGTATGTTTGGAAACATGGATTTGGATTTCAAATCCGGATTTGGCTTAAATTCCATGTTTGGGAAACTTAAGCATTTTGAATTTAGATTTGAATCAAATTCTTTACATTCAAAATCAAGCTTAATTTGAAATTCATGCACCTCCCCTTGTTATTTGAAATTCATGATTTCAAATTTTGGAATTGAAATGCATGAATTGAAATGAAATGTTAGTTGCCAAACACTACCTAAATAAAATCATCCTTCAACCCAACCATATTTACTCTCTCCGTTCGGAAATTTTTTTTCACATTTAACTTTTTATAGTCTCCAAGATGACCAAGAAAAGTTAAATAGAAAGAATATTTCCGAATGGAGGTAATATTATTTATCTATGAATTTACCAAAAAAGACAATTATTCTTTTTCTCAATTAGGACAGCGCAAAACAAAAAGAAACGTACGTACGCACCCAAATGAGAACGGACGACGTCGGTGTAGGTGTAGTTGCGGCGGCCGTGGTCGGGGCCGGGAGAGCGGTAGCAGTCGGCGAGGAGAGTGGAGGTGAAGTAAGTGATGACGGAGAAGGCGACGAGGACGGAGGGACCCACCACCCATCCCAGCTGAGCTATGGCCCATCCCAGAGACAGCACTCCCGACCCTATCACCGCCGTTATGATGTGCGCGCTCGCCGTCGCCAAACTCCCTTTTTTCATCCATTCAATTCCAATTATATCGTTAGTCCACAATCCAATTAAAAAATATAGTACTAAGTTTAATTAAAAGCAAGTAGATTCGATCTATCCATCTACCGGTTCTTTTCTCCCTTCCGTCGTCGTCCACGTTCTTCTTCAGGCCACCGGCATCTCCGTTTTCCAGCCGCCGATCGACGTACAAGGCGGAGGTTTTGCCGGAATCCGCCATCATACAAATTAAATACGACGATGAGTCTCCGGCCGGCTCTGATATATCGACTGTAATGGATCAGCGGCCCTCTCAATGATAGATATAATCACCAGGAAACGCCGTAAGTAGGAGCTGCGGTTTAATGAGAAGTACGTTATTGGCGTGTGTGTGTGTATATATATATTACCCGGCGGAGTATATGTGTACTAGAGAATCAATCTCACGTCAATATATTTTACTCCCGGCTAAAATATCTAAAACACATTTTATTACGGAGTATATAATTATTGCAAATATAACTTGTTTTAGAGGTATTTTAAACATTTTAGAGAGAATAAAAGTATTTTATGACGTGTATAAAAATTAGGCCAGAAATGTTTTTAATAATGGAGAGAGCGTATATAAAGTATTCAGTTCTATTCTTTGTGATTAAAGTCTAATTTATTTCTTTTTAAATGATCATCCAATTGGTACTCACTTTTGCGGGACCCTCAAAGATAAAGTTCATTCTTTTTTTCAAGATCTCCCACCGCTAATCTAAATGACAAAAATGGAAAATAATACCTAAATTACAAAGTCCTTAAATAAATCTTGTTTTTTCTTAAGGAGGAGTAGCTAGTATTTGTACGACAGAATTCGAGGCCAAGCCGTAGAATCATTTTTGAAGTTATTTGTAATGATGAAAAAATGAATACATCTGGCACTTCTTTAAAAATACGGAGTAAGTTATTTTTAAGATTTTTATAATGATGAAAATCAATAAATTTCATATGGATCTGCCACCCAATTAGCTCAACATGGATCTGTCCATGGTTAATTTTGTTTACATTAAAAGAAACCTTTATTTCTTGAAAAATGCTAAGGGTATACCAAATGTAGTGTATCCCATTTGTCCCTCACCCCTTCTTTGTCCACAAAAAAAGGCAAAAAATTTAAAAAATAAAAATAAAAATAGATGATAGAAAAGGAGATGGTGTACATTTGGGGTACACCAAACCATTGATGTACCCCTAGCATTTACTTAACATGATGCTAAAGAAATGAACTATCAGACCATAGCGAGGAAATGACTAGTCATGTTGTGCATGACTGATCAGGAGACCAACTTCTTCATAAGTACTCATTTTGTCCCAATAAATACTTTCTGTATTGAATTAATTTGGGCAAAAATAAAGAAAAATCATTTTTTAATTCTATCGCTCCAAAAACCCGTCTTTCTTTTTTTTTTCTAGTATTCATCATTTTTAATTCAAAAGCTTATATAAATTTAATAAAAAAATTTATTTATAAATAAAAATAGATAAATAGTAATAATAAATAAAAGTAATAAAGTCAAAATTAAAAAAAATAAATAAAAAGTTTAAAATTAAATATTAATTATCAAAATTAAAAAATTAAAATTGAAATATAAAAAAAATCCAAAATTGAATACATTAAAAAAAGTGTCTAAAATTTAAAAAAAAAATGGACGGGGCAAAGGAAGAAGAAGCTAAAAGAGGATAGCGTTCAAAAATTAGAAAAAACTGGAATTGCGCCGCGGAAGACTCGCTGCAGTGGGTGGCCGCCGCGAAATTGCGCCGGGTTTTCAAAGCGGCTCAGTGCCGCTGAAGGGGAGTGCGTCGGGGCGTTTTTTGCGGCGGAGGTGCTACAATGGGAGTGCGGCGCGACAGGTTGTGGAGACTAGTCATATTTGCGAGAAACTAACGATCAAGCTGGTCGTTTTTCGCATCCAAAGGCAGCAAACTTGTTTTAATCAAATGGGGATAACCTTAGTTTTTACATTGTGCTACCTGCGGTGATCGAGGTACATATGTATTTTAAGATTGACTATAGTCTAACCCTGTTAATTAATATACTCTCTCCGTCCTAAAAAGTCTTTCCTGTTTACTATTACGGCTTCTCGATATTTCCAATTTGTTTGCGTGTTTTCATTGATAATTTGATAAAATAAAATATTCTTGTCGCCTCTTATTTTGTAGAGTTTTCGATGTAGTTTTTAAATATAATTTTTTTATGTGTTATTTCCATACCAATTTTCGAATAAAATCATTTTAAAATCTACAGGGTTTTACACGTTAATCAAAACAAGAAATTCTTTCTGGGACGGATGGAGCATGTATTTAGTGCAAATATTTCGCTTGTTTTGAGTTATATGCAGTTTTTACGAATTTTTTGGGTACCTTTTGTGCACAATCATATAGTTCTTCGGAAAGTGGTGAAATGGATTTCACCTTAAAGAAATTAAAAAATATCACATGCAAAGAATTTTTTTTTAAAAAAACAAACAGATTCGCACCATATTTTGTAGTGGAGTGGTGGGGTACGTATATGTGTAAAATTAACCACGGTTTAATGATGGTTAATGATGAGTTTTTTTAGGAACAAGAATTAAGGGCTCCTTTAATTACAACCTATACTCTACTCTCATTTGATCTTATCTTTTCTAAGAAGCAATGTATCATATTCTCCATCATCGATTCTTTTAGAGGAATTTACTTAAATGACACTAAAATATAATGACTTTCTCTAAATAGCACAACATATGTTTTTCTTCTCAATATAACACTTTTAGTCATTATTCAAGTAAATGTTTGCCATCAAAAGTCATTATGGACATTATTAAGTGCTATTTAGGAAATAAAACAATTTAAGTGCTATTTAGAGAAATGACTTAAGTTTTAGTGCTATTTTATGCAAATATTTCATTCTTTTATGCTTTTTTTTCGTTTGTGTCCGTCCTCCACTCTCTATTTTCCACACTAGCGATCGATTATCACTCACACCCGTGGTTTAACATAGAGTTAGTCCCTCGGGTTCATCATTTTTCATCACGTCCTAGTAACATACCTACGTACATTTCCATCCCCATTCAATAATATATTCCCACCTGTTTTGGACTAAAAGGCATTTTTCTCCCCTCTCTCTCTCCTCCTCTACGCATCAATTGTCGTCTCATGATAGAGGTTATGTTGATCGAGTCACACTCAAATTTCGTACACACTTGTGTGCCTCGATTACATTATAAGGTTAAAGTATGATTTTTTTCTAATTTCTAACGCTAATTAATTTTGAGAAAATTGGTAGCGTGTCAGATCATACAATTTTAAGAAAATGGGCCGGCCATGTTATTAAAATGATCCGATCCAGCGGACATGCTTGAGTTTTAGTGAAGCTAGCTAGAGGAGAAGTTTCGGTTTTGAGACGCGTGATTTGTTATTTTGCACCCTTGAACATGCCCTGTTAGCTTTCCATTATTATATGCCCTGTCAACTAAATTATATTGTCCATGTACTTATTTCACTAAACCTTAGATTACAAATCTCCTTTTGTTTTTCTGCTTCTAAAGTTGCTTGGCCTCTTTATTTATTTTTATTAATATTCTACTTTGGTGGAAACAATTAGTAATGTATTTCCCATAGAAAAATTTAAAAACAGAAAAATATGTAATTTTAATATTATTTCTTAATTTTATTCTTGTTTGTAATGATTACGTAGGATATGATGTGTGGGATAGATGAATCATAATAAGAAACTAATATTCTCTTAGTCTGAAATGTTTGTCACATTACATAAAACGAAGTGAAATTTTAAGTTTTTCCAATTCATTCTTTTTACAGATTAGTATAGAAATAAAAAATAAATTTATATATTTAAAAAACTACGTGAAAAGTTCTTCAAAACAAGAGGTGACAAAATTATTTTATTTTATCAAAAATGTTATGAAAACATACAAAGAAATAAATGTTTTCGTGATTTTTGAATACCGCCTCCGTCCAACAATAATCTCACCATTCGTGTTATGATATTTGACTGAAATTATTTTCAATTCATTTTATATGGAAAAAATAGTGTGGAATTAAAAAATAAAAATTACATATTTAAAAAATAATTTAAAAGTACATCAAAAGATCTACAAATTTTGATATGAAAAGTTTATATTATTTTAGCAAATGAACATCAAAAGTAAACCAACAAAGTAAACAAAGTTTGGCTTTGTGAATAATTAACGGAAAGATTATTTTTGGACGGAGTGAGTAGAAAATTGTAACATTCTTTTTAGGACAGAATGAGTATCAAAGTTACTCATTTTATTTTTATTTTTTCTGTTTTGAAANCCCCCCCCCCCCCGATTTTCCTATTACAAATGAAGAAATTTTACGAAATCATTGAAAAATGAAAGATTTTTTAATAGAAAATTTTATTTAAATAACACTAAAACATAATGACTTTCTCTAAATAGCACCACATGTGTTTTTCTTCTTAATGTAGCACTTTTAGTCATTATACATTAGTCATTATTCAAGCAAATATTCGCTATTACTGGACATTTTTAAGTGCTATTTAGAAAATAAAATAATTTAAGTGCTATTTAGGAAAATGACTTAAGTTTTAGTGTTATTTAGTACAAATATTTTTTTTTAATGACCATGTTGCTTAGCGTGACACACTCATGACATATACTCGGTGAATTGAATTTTTTCTTTTTATTTGAGAGGGTAGTTTAAGGGTCACGTGGACGAACATGTAAGTGTGACCAAAACATTAATTCTCACTTGGTGCCCTGAAAATACGTAACTTTTACAAAAAAAAAAAAGTTGACCAATACATTTGTCTTGTTATTTTTACATGAGATAAATTCTGATTTGATCTAATTTGATTGTAGTTATATTAAAAGTAATTTTTATTTGTTCTAATAATAAGGCAAAATTGACAAGAATACTCCCATAAATTACAGATTTTACATAAATACTCCCAAATTTGTTTATTTACATCATTGCTCCCACATTTCTCTTTTATTTACGTTGTTACTCCCAAATTTGGTAGTGATCATTAGTGTTACTTGGATGTGTCATTTTTGCGTTAAGTGAATAGTTAAAATGCAGACATGTATTTTTTCCACTCTAATATACTAAATTCACCTCAACTTATTCTCTCTATCTTCTTTCTCACGTCTTAGTAAGCCTAATTATTGCCCTTATTTCCCATCACTTTTAAAAAAATTGAGATTTCAAAGTTCTTAAATCTTTTTAATTTTTAATATTAAGTCGATTCATATTAATTTAATTTGAATTCAATAAAAAAAGTTGAAAAACCCCGTATAAAAAGAGGCACCCGAGAAACACTGATGATGAAGCAATCGCGG